ACCTTCTACCAGCCCTCTCACTCAGTGCTACTGGTTTATCTTTTTCTGCAGATGATCCTGAGTTCTGGGATTTCACTCTGGATGGGATTGAAGAGCTGGATGTCCCCGCAGGCGCCCCGTCCACCAGAGGACTCCGGCCCGGAACGCCCGGGAATCACCAGATGCAGACGCGCAGTAAGACCCCTCAGAGAGCCCCTGGCAGACCTACAGACGAGGCCTCGTCATACAGCAGAGGACAGGACCAGTCCAGATTTCAACATCCGTTCCAGTATCAGGCGAGAACAGGTGAGGTTTCAGGAGAAGAGTCGCTGATCTGTTAGTGAGCTGTTGACTGAATTTTGTGGTTTTCAATCTACTTTTTCAACCTTACAGGTGAAGCGGTCAGTCCGTACAGACAAGGACAGTACCTGAAGAAACGCCGACTGGACACTTGAAATTTGATGTTGCTCTTCCACAGCTTCCTGAACACTTTATAGAATCCAGCCATGATTTTCTTTGTTTTTATATTTATTTCAGTGTAGACATTAAGTTCATTTTGCTATGAATTGCTGCTATGTCCAATATTTGGAGAAATATTACCTGGTTTTGTAAAAAATAAAAGCATAACCACAAATCAGTCAGGTGTGTGTGCGTGTGTGTATATAAAGAAAACTTTCCAAAAAAAGTTTAGATTATATTTATCACTTAACAGAATACAAAGTGAGTGAACAGTAGAATATAAATCAAATATTTGGCGTGACCACCCTTTGACTTAAACAGTCATCCACCATGGCAAGACTAAACACAGCTACACAACACAAAGTAGTTATTCTGCGTCAGGCAGAAATTTCAAGGCAGCTCTTATAGATGCACAAAGAAACGGCTAATGTTGAGGACCGTGGAGAACCATCTTTAGCGTAAAGTACAAGGACTTCTGGAAGTGATAGTACTGCCCCCACAGAGCCCTGATCTCAAGATCGAGTCTGTCTGGGATTACGTAAAGAGCCTAAATCCACAGGACTATGGGTAGCTCTCCAAGATGTTTGGGCCAACCTACCTGCTTACATTTTTAATATTGTAAAGAAGTAGACTATTTAGGATTTGTAAGATGAAAACATCCCAGTTCACGCTAAAGGAGTGTTGACTTAGTAAGTAGCAGTAAAAGCACAGTCTGGTCATATAAATTATAATAAGCATGACAAGTGTTTTGATATTATTTTTATTTGTTTTTACATTTTGTACAATGTGAAAAACATACACAAAACAGACACTGAATCACAGGAAGTCAGTAAGGAGGGATAAAAGAGCTCAACAGACATTACTGCGTTGTCAGTAGCCTCAAACAGTACTGGTCTGTGATCATTACTGCTATTAGCCTAGTAACACAGACCTTAAGCTTTGTTGTGAGCTTGTGCCGTACACTGGCCCGTTGTGAGTTGTAAGATTAAATTAGTTTAGCCATCATGCAGAAATCATATGCTGATAGTGAAGTCGTGTCTATGATACTAGTGAATGGCAAATGAACAGATCAACACTTTGTGATGACTTGAGAAGGCAAAGAAGAAAAACAAAAAGGATCTAATATTCCAATATCAAAACCACTCAAGTCAGTAACGACCCTCATCAGCATGCAAATGTTTTCATTGCCCCTCAGTCCCATTAAAACTTCAAACATTGCATATTCTGCATTGCAGTAACTTATTTTTTCTCTAGAGAAGTTTAACTATTCGTCCAATCTACACGCAGGCGAATGAATCGCAATGACAGCATGGCACTCGTGAGGTGGTGAGACCAAAGTTGACAGCTCACTTGCTGCCTGAACAAGAGCTTCTATGAAACAATTTAATGATAAATCCACAGAAACTAATGTCAGCCAAACCCATGTACGCATGAGCCAAATATAAATACACAGCTGATTACACAACCAACACAAATGTAACTAGAGAGAAAAGAAACATTGCCACATAACTCAGTGTGCTCTTTGTTCTGCAGTCCTGTGTGTGGTGTCTAGTGTTAACGTCCTCTGACTTGGCCGTGTGACAGTTACGGGGGATGCTTGTTGCATTTTTTATGTCGTGTACAGGTTTAGGTAGCTGGGTTTCTGCATTACAGTCACAGCGACAGGACTAGATGCATCTGGAACTTGTCATTAGTGAGGATGCAAGGCACTAAAGTGTTCCTCATGTTTACAGGTTAGAGTGCATGTGCATGAAAGAGTGGATCACCACAGGCTTACTCTAGTGGCTGAGCATTACGTGAAAGCATTTACCTCACATTAACATATATACAATAAAATAGAAAAAGGGCGCAGGGCAGTCATAGACAGGAGCTTAATAAACTGCAGGATCACTCCTGCGTGGTGGGTAGGATACCAATTAACAACAACCCTGCAATTGCACTTTTTATATTCCTTTAACTACATGTTGTTTAACAACCTTTAATAATAATTACAGTGAAACAACATCAAAATCTGATGGCTGAATACAGGTCCATAAAGAACATTTGTTTTTTGTTTTTTTAAATATACGCTTACAAAAACAGACCACAGAAAGAGAGAACCCCAGACACTTGTGATTTAAGAGGTGACTGCTAAATGTTATGAGCGGAGACATTTAACATGCCAAGACTTCACCAAAAACCTGTCTGTGTATTTTGCACCATCTGTGTAAACAACTGGGAGGAAATTTGTGGTACGATTCACAGATTTTGAGCTGCTTATAGCTCAGTTGCTAAGCAATAAATGATGTGTCGACTTGGGGTTCTTATCAAGATTTAGTTCTTGTGTTAAAAAGAAAGAAAAACTTCTCTACCCAGATTGTGATTTACAGCAGCATCAACTCTTAGTTTCAAACTCTGAATGGTGGTCAACACCAGGACAATGCTTTTCTACATGGCAGATCTACTGGCTTACATATCAGATGTGAAGAATAAATGAGTATGATAATAAATCTGTATGTACAGACAACTGAAGTCACAATGACACCAGACTTTCACAGGGACATAAATATGCTAGACATGGAATCATAACCCAGTGAAGAAATATATGTACAAAGTCAATGTTTTAAATGTATTTGGGGATTAAGGCCACAATTACGCGGGACAATTTATCTATTCTTTGCCATTATTGCATTTTACTTAATAGGTCCCCAGTGGGATATATTCATACTGTAACCCATCATTTACACTCTGCCTGCCTAACTTACTCTGTCTTTCTTCTTCCAACTCCACCAGTCACACTTTTCTAATCCATCTGGAACACGCCAACTGTCCCACTCTGATCTCCCACTTTCTGTACACTCCCTCCCTCACTATCTGAGACAACTTAATCTAACGTCCAAAGTCACTTAACCAGGTTAATGTTTAGTCAGGTGTGTGTGTGTGTACACACACGTGTGCCTGTTTGCGTTGTATTAGTTAAACTTTCTTCAGTCCCAGCTCGGTTTAATGTCAGGACCAGTAAGGATGTGAACCAGAATCCCTCCTACCTTCCTCTTCAAAAGGAATGATGACATTGCAACGTCTGCTTTCAAGACATCTTTGGCAGCTGTTGGTTATGCCTGTGGGTGATTACATCACCAGACATGACCAACCAACTCGTCACAGCTCAATTCCACAGCCAATAGCAGTGCGAGACTCTTGTGCTGTGAATGTGTATTGCACTCTCCCTCCAATTGCCAGTCAGATTTCGTTCTGCCCGAGAGGACTTGAACCACACAGGTCAACTCTATTACAGAGAAAACAAATAATAAATGTTGAAATAAAAATGAAAAGTACAGTATCGAGCTATCTAACCAGCAAAGCGAGCTAGTGGTTCTCGTTCAACGTCTGTCTGCTCACTCCACTCTGTGTGGCCCTTGCTCTCAGCCTGGACCACGGCTCTGACTAGGCTACGTAGGCCTCAGGTTGGACCCTCCGGGGCTGACTGATTTCTGGGGGGCTGGTGTGGTTCCCATGTGGTAGCCTTGGTGCAGGGACACTGAGACTGTCGCGGGTGGCTGGTACTGTGTTAGTGGCTGTCCGGGGTTAAGCATGCTGACCTGGCATGTGCCTGTGGGTCCGGCCCACTGAGGAGCACTGTACGGGGCTGAGGCGTATCCAAACCCCTGGGCAACGGGGCCCAGAGAGCCTTTGCGAGGCCCCAAAGGGACAGAGGGATTGGCTGGATTGGGGAGGTGGGTGGTGTTGGTGGATGTGGTACTTGAAGGCGTGGGAAGGGTTGGGCAGAGGTAGCCAGGAGCTGAGAATTTACGGCCCATACTGGCTGGAGGGATAAGCTGTAATAGAGAAAAGAGTGTTACTACTGAATCTGCAGGACTATTATGACAGCAAGTTGTATTCGGCCATACAGTCATAAAATGCTCCAATGCCTACATCATGTCCCAGCACTGCCTGTGCTCCAGTTTTAGGACCTTTCTTGCACTGGGAGAGGCTGATGGCGTCTCTGGCCCAGTTATCCACCAGTTGGTGCAGGTCATCGGTGAAGGTGCCCTTGCCCTTCTGTGTGTGAGAGATATGAGGAGTCGGTCCAGTCGCCTGGGTCAGGGAAGTAGAGTGGTTTTGGCAGTGGCCTGAACCATTTGTTGAGCTGGTCCCACTTGATCCTGGGAAACAAGACGAGAGGTGAGATGTGCAGTAGAAAATACATTAAGGCAATACATTTAAGTAGCTCACCGTGACAAGATTAAGTGCTTGCACATACCTGTGGAACAACTACTGAGGCTGGGCATGGATGGAGAGGATCTGAGCGGCTGTATGGATGACCCGCTAACTGCTTGTGATGCCTCTGTTGCTGATGGTGTACTTTGCTTTGGAGTGGACTCTGAACCATGAAGACTCTGAGCTGAGGCTGGAGATATTGAACATGTGAATGTGAACACAATGGTGTGTACATATCATTTCAACAGCTTCAGCAATAAAGTGGTATAGCATGTACATAAAATACAAAATTAAAATATTAATTTTGTCTTGAGAGCCAAAAAAACAAAACTGCAGTAGTTCACTGTCCTTACCTGAGTGTATGGGGCTGGGCTGTCCACTACTGCGAGCAGATCTGTGGCTTTTGCGCCTACGTCGACCTCCAGCCATCGCCACAGCAGGGGAAAAGACGGAATGAGGAGGATGTTTTCCCATCTGTGTGAACAGGGCGTCTATCTCCTCTTTCTGACGTGACTGCAAGGCCTGGATCTCCATCATGTGTCTGTGAGCGGGAGATGAAAGTCAGACAACATGCTGTCATGTTAAAACATGTCTACTGAGCTGTGAAACAACAGTCATAAAAGGAAATGAAAGTGGTGTGAAGTGGGACTATGAACATGTCACTTACTTTTCTCTGAGACGGCTAATTTCTTTCTGCAAAGCTTCGTCCTCTGAGTCGTCGTCATTGTCACCACTGTAATGGGTATGTGCGTTATGAGGATCAGAGATTGAGGATGAGGGCCCATTCTGCATTCCACTGCCATGTGATGGACTGGAGCCTGCTGCTGGAGCTGGGGTCACTGAGGGGAATTAAACACATAAAGCCATTACTGCAATATACACATAATTTAAAAATGTACCCTAAACATCTGTGTTCTGTGCACAGGATGAAGAAAATCTGTTTCATTCAAATTAAATGACCACATGCAGGGATTATCTTCTGATATGAACAGAACATAATGGATTTTCAAGCTCAATAGCTAGATAAGGCTGCTGAATTTGCAAATGTTATCAAAGCTGTAATTAATAATTCCCACTGCAGCATCTGCCAATCAGATATAATATTGAATGAGTTGAAGATGCCTCCACAGAGTGCATGACATTCTATAAAATATTCAGATTGAATTATATCGCTTAAATCATGGCACTTATCAAAGGAAACAACAGATGGCTGTGATTAAATGGTCATCCAACACTTACTAAAGTTCATTTAGTCTGTTCAGTTACTTTGAGTGTTAGCAGTGAAATAACTGGTGAGATGTGAAGTGTGAAGCATCAGTTTTGTATGGTACTCAATATTACTTAGTATACTATAGTAGGGCCCTGTGTAGTATTAATGTGAGCTGTGCAACACAAGTTAATCAAAGCTAACTTAAGTTGCTGTGAACCTGGTACGCACCTGTGACGGAAAAGCGTCCCACTTTAGAGCCGGTGGTTGGCCCAGATGTGGCACTGGTGCTCGTGGACACTTTGAAGCGCCCAATAGTGGTGGACTGACTGGCAGGACCAGCAGAGAGAGATGATGCTCCATTTATAGCGTCAGTTACACAAGTTCCTCTGGACAGAGAGGGTGGCCGGTGGAGGGTGTTTTCTGGACTGGAGGGAGATGATGACGAGGAGGAAGAGGAGGAAGAAGAGGAGGAAGTAGAGGAGGAAGTAGAGGACGCAGTGACGGGAGGATGGGAAACGATGTTCGAGGGACCTGGACTGCTGCTAGACACACCATCAGTAGCAACAGACACCTGATAAAGAAAGGATTGTTACAATTTTAATGAACTAAGCCCATGGTTTAAAAGGATTCCCTGTTTTAGACTCAATTAACCAGAAAGATTTAAAGCTGGGACTAAAACTTACTTGGAAACGTCCCAGAGTGAAACTTGCTGCTGGAGGTTGGACATTATTACCTCCCTGAACAGTCTCTGGGCTCAGAGCTCTCCTCAACTCAGCATCCAAATTACCCAAGGGTTGCTGTGACAAAGGAGTCACACAAAGAGAATATAATGAACAATCTAAGTAGTACTGTGTACACTTACACTGTTCTAATTTAAAAAACCTACAAAAGTAGTATCACAGAAACACCTCAGAGCTCACCTGATTTGGTCCAGGAAATGGGGGTACAAGGTCAGATGGAGGTGTAGCAGCTTGATCAAAACCAGTAGGTAAAGTCTAAAAAAATTTTTTTTAAAAGACAGGTGTCAGGTCAAAATATTTCTAATAATCACAATAATAAACAGCATTTTGGATTTATTTTTGGATACTGCAGTTTTCACTAACCTGTGCCCTTTGCTTAGTTGGAGGTGTCTGTGCATGTCCTGCTGGGGTGACACCCTGTCCTGGGGTGGCTGTGGGGCCCAGCACACCCTGCACCCCAGAGGTGAGGGGAAGGTTAGATGGGGGTACCAGGGCGGCTCCAGGTGGGGGGGAAGTAGTCCCAGTAGGAGGAGAGGTTGTGTCAGTAGTCTGACTAGGATCCGCTGACGAGGAGGATGAGGCAGAGCTCTGGTCTTGAAAGAGAGACCGTAGCTTCTTATCTAGAGCTTGGATATCATCTCTTCCAGCGATCTTCGTCTGGAGCTCAGCCCCCTCTGACTCCACTGGCTGTGGCTGAACCTGGCTCTGACTGGGTAAAGAGCTGGGAGGAGGGGGCTGAGCAGAAATGGGGACAGGCTGACACTGGGCGGTTGAGTGCTGTGGCACATGGATAGACGAACTCGTAGGTTGAGAAGATGTAACAGCACTATTAAAAGTCTGCTGCTCTGAAGCAGGGACAATGCCAGTACTACTGGGTGTAACACTAACTACAGAAGAGACAGTTGTGCTCAGCTGAGGTCCAGGTACTGCTTGGACGGAAGTTGAGGGAGGGACGATGGCAGCTGGAGTTTGGGACTGATTAGGTGGTGGGGAAACCCTCCCAGTTGAGGGAGGTGGCGAGGACGTTGCAGTAGATGTGAGAGACACAGCAGGAAAAGTAGTGCTAGTGGTGGGAGCAACAACTTCTGGCGGAGCCAGGATATTGTTCGAGTTTGGGCTGAGTCCAGCCTCAGTGGACGGGACAGTGCCTGGTTCTTGCTCAGTAGGAGGGGGGGTCAAGGGTGCTGCATCTTTCTACACGAGCCTGCTTCATTTTACTGAAAGCCTGCTGGAGAGTCCCAGATGGAGCAGACAGAGAAAGGCCCAACGTCACGGAGGGAGCTAGAAAATGTAAAAGGAGGAAGTCATTTTATAAAAATATTATGCAGTGTCAAATGTATTATTTGAGGAACTAAACAGTGAGGACAGTTTAACTCCACAGGGAATGAAACAAAACTGTTCTCTCACCGGGGGCAGGTTCATCTCCAAAGGAGGTATTAGCAGAAGAAGCGCCAAAGAACTGTTCTCTAAGACGAGACTCTGGCACAGGGCTGACTATGAACCTTCGTCCTGCCGAATGCACCACCTGTGCTGTAGTGCTGGGAGAAATACCTGAGAGAAAGGTAAAAAGACATGTCCAGTGTAAGGAGTTGGACATTGGAAATACATAACTGGACAATAAGCACTGTGTTTTTGGCTAAAGTTTGTTAACCTGGCAGCATGGGAACAGACAGCTCAGGCTGTTGCTGGAGATCACCCATCTGCAAAGAGATAAAATGCAGGTGGTTATGTCCTCAGGTTTAGCAGGTGACGATCTTGATTATCAATATGGGTATTTGGCTAAAGAGATGACGTGTAGTTAAGAAATACCTGGGGAAAGCCATCCTTCATGCCCCCTCTTTTCTCATCAGCCATTTCTATGACTTCACGGACCTGATCAATGAAGGACTCCCGCTCACTCTCCAAGATAAACTCACTCTGAACCTGAGACAGAAAGCAAAAGGAGTTCAGCTACCGTAACTATGTATGCTGTGAGAACATTAATTCATGGTCTCACAGATATTAAAAAGGAATAAGGACAACAATCTTTGCTCTTGTTTTATGTTAAGTGACTGTGGATTGTCACTGTGTGTCGCCAATTCAATGGGAGTTTGTGAACTGCAGCCACGCAAATGTATATGTAGTGTGTATTAACGGTTTGTAGAGAATATTTATTTATTGTAACAAAACAACCATTAGACAATTAACATTTCCTTAATGGTGAGTGGCAAAAATTAGAGAACCACTACTACCATGATCTGTGCAATCTCCTCTGGATTATCTCCATCGAGGTCAAATCTGAAGGTCACCATCTTCCTGTTGTGCGTTTCTAGCTGGCACTCGGCTACTCTGTCTCCTACATTAGAGATCTGCAAAACATTCATTCAGGTTAAAACAGTGGACAAAGAGCTGTAGACAGAATATGAATGATCTAATCATTTCAAATGCGTACGCTGAGAACATCTAGCTTGGCCTTTGCAGTCTTCTCATGGCGGGAGCGGCTGCGTACGGATCGCCGCTGGTGACGCTTCAGTGAGCGCCCCTCATGCCGACCTCCTGATGTAGAACTTCCATCATTGCCGTCACTGAGACCTGAAGCAGCATCCGACAGGCAGCTGAAAGAGAAATGGACCCATGAGAGAAAGAGAGATCAGACACACTGTGTAGTGCTGATGAAACCTGCTGTTTTTTAACTTCCTACTTACCTTTCTACAGATTGTGGCACCAGAGCAGGGGATCCTGCCGGCTGCTCCACTGGTGTTGACTGAGGAACACTCACAGAGGCCTGAAACACAGAAACCCTTAATGTCAAAAGCAAATCTCAAAACGGAAAGTCCTATCATTGATGGATTACTGTTTTGAAATGATTTAGAGATTCACACATTTGACGATGATCAAGGAAAGGCATGTTTTAGACCAGACTTTCCACCAGATGGAGCCGTTTAACCTGGTGAAACTTGCGACGCCATTATTCAGCTCTCAGGCAGACTGTAAATATCGCCGTGAAATGGGGTTTTCATTTCCTTTCCTTCAGAATGTGGCCATTTTTCTCTGCAGTGCTTGCAAGGCTACTAGTTTCATTTACATAGGTTACTGCTGTTTTATCAATTTGCAGTTTCAGCCCTGTGGCTAATTACAATACTGTGACTTCTAGAACTGTGATAAAATGTCTTTTATGCATTACATGCATACAGATTATATCTACTGGAGGTACTGTTTTCATGGAGGATTTTAAGCTCCAAGTAAATCTCTTGAGCTGTTGTCTGAACAGCCACAAGGTTATGAAATTGTATATATTTCCTTTTGGACAAAATGTAACTGTTGAAAACAAACACTGTAAATTTGAGGGATTTTGGAGCTTGGTAAGTACCGCCCCTCCTTATGTTAATCATATGTTTATTGATGCTCTATAATAAAATTGACACAAATTATTTAATTTTCCATTTAAAAATATTTAAAATTTGCATCCTAAAGATATTGATTTTTTGAGGATGAATGTACACACACACACACTCAAGAAACAGGAACCGTGCAACAAAGTGTGAACAAAATGCTTCACACCTGACCTAAATACACCGACCCACACATTCTTGTTTTGTGCTCTGTAGAGTACCTGCAGAACAGAGAGGCATGAGGCCTGATAGAGGAAGTATAGGTGCTCTGCGTTGAGTGGAGGAGACATGATAGGAGGACTTGGATCATTGGCCCAAGACTAAGAGTCATGCAGGAATATGCAGCATGCAGAGCGGAAAAGTGGAAGACAAAAGGGGACAGCCATGGTAATGAGATTTGTGTGTTCAGAGAAAAGAAAAAAAAGATTTAGAAAGAATGCACACATAAAAATGGAGAACATAAAATTCATACTATAATATGGTCAAGCGAAACAGTGGAATGAGTTAAATGCCTACATATTTCAGTGTATGTCTTAAAGCAAGATCAAATATATTTGTGCGTTAAGTGCCAGCAGGGGAGGTGTTTGTCTCACCTGTAGCTGCTGAACTCCAGGCTGTGCCTGTGGTACTGTAGAGCTCTGATGAGTAGAACTGCTCTCTGTCTGCTGCTGTTGGGGGGGAGACGACTGAGAGGATGGGGGTATCATCACTTGCTGGGGGGGGATCTATAAGATGGAGTGGCAGAAACAAGAATAAAATCAGAGTCAGTGTTTCAGCAATGGGTTGGGATAAAAACATAGTTACATTTAGACTACTTTCAGAAAAACAGGTTTCTTTCTAATCTAAATCTTTCAGAGATTTACTTTGGCTCTATTCCAAAGCCACTTACCTGTTGGATAACATAGCTGCATAAGTCAGACAATTAATTTATTTAACAGTGTGGGATGACAAAGTATTAACCAGTGAACATTTAATGACACTGCACTTCCATGTTTTATAAACTACTGAGAGCCAACTATAGCATCTGTGTGAATTAACCACAAAGGCTGAGTCTACCATGCAGACCAATATAGACAATACGCTTATATTGTTTCCCAGAACATCTGAAAGGCTGTCGGTGTATTTAAAAGTGGTAACAGGAAAATGGGACATTTTATCTACCTGAGGGGGAAGCGATGGTTGGTAGTAAACTCCATACTATAAGAAACAAAACATAACAGCGTAAGAATAAGAAACTTGAGAATGAAAAGAAAAGCTAACTATTGAAAATTTAGCATTAGAGACTGGAAAACTTGGGACTCAGCTGTTTTCAAGGCAGCCACCTGTAGCAGAGAATCTAGTCTTTAAAGGTTAACTTAACACCTCTTAAAAAAAAAAAAAAAAGTATTTTTGCAGACCTTGACTGGTTGAAGTTCACATGCTGCAGTGATACAGAGGTGTGTTCAGGGTGTGTTTAGTACAACCTGACATTGCTTAGGTATTAGGTGTGTTGTTAGGTGATAGATTTTAACCTTTTAACCAGATGTCAGTGAAACCATGCTTTTTATTTGGTGTTAAGACATGCAGTAAGATATATACCTGTGGAAGTGCCACTGGAACAGACTGGCTGCTGGGCGTAACAGGAACAACTTCAGGCTGGATCCCTTGCATCTGGGCTTGAACCTAATGCAATACAGAGCGAAACAACACCACATGTGGTGAAAATGAGGCAAAAAACAAACAAGAGATAAAGGATAAAATACTACGAGCAAAGACATATAGGTCAAGGGGCATGTGTATTGAATGGGCACAGAAGTTCCTGCTGGCCAAGACTAAGACCCCAGGTTCTTACAGTTAACTCTTAATAGTTAGTCAGGTGTACAGACACAGTGAGGCTGCCTACACTGTCAACATAAGGGATGAGAACTACAGTGAAAAGGGAACTGGGAAAACAGAAAAAAAAACAAAAAAACCCCAAAACACAGAGGCCAAATTTGCAAGAATGGACAAACAAAACCTAGTCTGTAAGTTGTATTGTATACTTAATTCTGAGACACAGATACCATGGGGAAATCATCTGATTCATTTCCATTTTCAACATGACTCACCGCTGACAACTGCTGCTGTTGCGTCTGGTCATTTTGTGTCTGCGGGCATGACACCTGGGGCTGAAGGTGCTGACTGGGAGGGGAGCTGTAGGATACTCCTTGAGGAGGCTGGGCTTCGGGAAGGACGGTGGAACCAGATAGTCTGTCTCCCATATGACTGGCTATAAGAAGGGGACAAGAAGTCTCTAAATGCATTTTCCTTAAAAAAAATAAATAAATAAAACCCTTTAATTATCATGCAGTGGGCTGTAGGTGTATTTGACTCTAAATCATCATACACACCTCCTCCAGTGTGCTGTAGTTGTTGGTGTTGGTCAGTCTCAGGCTCCTCTGACTCTGGCTGGATGGTGGCCACGCTCTGGCCCTGAAGTGGAACTTGCCCAGTTGAGTGGGGAACAAAAGGGACCCCCTGTGCCATGTCGCTCAGTTGGGTTGATTGAGGTGTGTTGTAGTTAGAGCACTGAAGGCTCTGCTGAGATGCAGGTTGGGTGGACATCTGCATGCTGTGTTGGTTTGGTTGTGGAGACACATAAGTTGCAGGCTGTGGCACTGGGTGGGACTGAGGCACCTCCGGGCTTGCCTGTTGGGCTGGTTGCTGTGCTGGCAGCAATTGACTCTGCTGTTCTTCTTCCAGTCTTCTCTTCTCTTGATCCTCCCTGACCTTCAAGACAGTCAACAAAAATTGTACTAAAATCCCTCAAGAGAGCACTGGATTGACAATGTCTAAACATCACAGCACAGGGAGATAAGAATTCAAGCAAAGCAAACATAAATAATACTGCACTATAGTGAGCAGGGACAAACCTGCTGCCGCTGTGCTCTCTTCCGACTGATTAGAGACACCCTGTCCTTTATGGCCTTCGCAATGGTCTTATGGTCACCTTCGCACACATAACCAGACTCAACCTACACAAAGACATGATGTACAATCAATTAATATTTCAAATGAAACCCTTTAAGCCAACTGTTCTTTTTTCATTTGTCATGCAGTATTGATGAGGTGTTGTTTTTTAAAAATACTGCTTAAAGTATTAAAAGCTCAAGTCACCATTTCCTGAGCCACATCTTCTGGGACGTCTTTGTTGAGGTCAAAAGAAAACTCAATAGCTTCGTTGTCCTTGTACTTCCCCTTGAGTTTCTTCACATCCTCAATTCTCAGCCACAGCTTAATAGCCTCCATCTCTCCATCATCCTCTTCTGCCAACTCCACACGTACTCCTGTGTCCTCCTGGAAGAAGGCATGGTTCAGAAGGTCCTTGATCGAGTACCTAAATAGAGGGAGACAACAAATGAGTAAGTGTTTTCCTGGAGAGCTAGAACACTCTAAAACTTTTAAGTGCGGTATAAGTTAGAGACCTCTCATCCTTGTTCTGGCGAATACATCCTTCGATGATCTCCTTCACTTCAGGAATGGCCACCTTGTCAAAGCTACCCGGCTTCACCCCCTACAGGAAACACAGAGCCCTGAATGAGAATGGGTATTCTACTCATCTGACTGTTTCTTTTTTTGGAGACTACCCCATACACCTTGTTGATTTCACAGAGACTACTTTAGCACCACATACACATTTGTCATATTCCAGATGACTGAGATCATTACAACCTGAAACTACCTTCCTCTTTCAATTGTGTTTTGGAATGAAGTGAAATTATGATGTGGAAAGTGTTTCTCCTAAGAAATGTAATCCTCCACAGCAAACCATTCAAATAATGTTAAAGGACAGTTAGAATTAAGACAACAGCAACAGGAAACTGCATGGTGCAACAGGAAAATGGAGGACTGGCTGAACAGCTGAACTGAATGACAGAACAGGAAGAACAATAGCCCATCTCCCCAAGGAATACTACTGTAAAGCTAGAGCATGTGACACTAACTGAATGTAGGCTCAACACCACAATAGCACTTTGTTTCTGAGCTGAGTCACCTGTGTTTGGTGTTCTTCAGTATGAGCCATTTGTGGCTCATAAACAGAGCTAAAGAACTCTTACTTGGCTGTGGGGGTAAATAAAAAATCCTCTGTTGAATCATCAGACTTCAGTATTTGTACTTGACTTCAGTTAATGATAAGCTGAGGGTATTGGTATAGATTTCAAGGCACATTTTGTAGATAACAATCTAGGAACAGGTTTAACTTTTTTTATCTGAGACTCATGTAATTGCAAATGTATGAATCATATCAGTGACTATGCATTACAAAAGTAAGCCTGTATGAACTGTGTGAATAAGACAAAAAATGTGTGGGTTTTATTACAGTTACTGCCCTTCTGGCGTCATCACAAGACTGAACCAGTAGGACTGTGCTTGTTCAACCTCTTATCAAAACTTCCACGCCTCAGGTCTACATGATAAACCAACATAATACCATATTTTAAAAGGAAAGAAAAAAGCAGTATGAGGTGTTAGTGTAAATAACATGTTTTCTCTTGGAGGTTTTCTAAGTTTGTCAAACAGGGCGATAGGTACATCATCTGGGAGATGCAGGAATACACTCAAGTTAAGAGGTGAAATACAATACTAAAAGAAAGAAATGTAATATAAGCTTGATGAAGAGGTGTCAGGAGGAATATAAAAATCATTCCAGAATGGGACACTAGCCTTCTTGGCACATGGGAAGATGTGAAGGCAGGGCAGAGGGGTGTCATGGAGGGTTGAAAAGAAGACTTACGCTGGTAACTCTGCGGTAGATCTGTGCAGCATTCTGGCACTCTGAGTAAGGGTACTCTGAGGTGGCCATCTCCAGCATGCACATTCCAAAGGCATACACATCCACTGACTCGTCGTACTTCTCCTCATACATCTCAGGCGCCATGAACTCAGGGGTACCTTAAATCAAAACAACTATTCAGAACTCTCGAACGCCCTTACTGATTGAGTGGGCTTCTCACAACCCATTGCCCCTCTGCTCCTCTAACCCGTGAGGGGTTGAGGAAGAGGAGGATGAGAAGAGTGACCAGTCTGTTGACATCTCCTGGAGTAGAACCTGTGAGGTGAAAGTTGGAAGAGAGAGAGAAAGAGAAAAAAAAAAAAAGAAAAGGGGAAGGAAAGCAAAAAAGAGACAGAAAACAAAAAAGGAAGGAGAGGATGGGCTCAGTTAGACTGCAGAGAAGAAAGCACGTGTTTGTCTGTGTAAGACCTTAAACATGTTGGAATATAAGAATGAGACTGAGGTACCCAATGTGCAGAACACACTTGTTAAACCAAAATGAATGTTATTTACAATGTTAAAAAATACCTTTAAAATTAGGCACTTGAGAATAATACCCACGCCAGAATACAGTGTAATTTGGTAAAAGAGTTGCCAATGATCTCAGTAAGAGAAATATGACTAGCTATGGAAATAACTTGTGTCAAGACCTTACAACCACATTAACATTGTCTTTTCTAGTACACTCACCTTTTGAAGTCTGACTTACCACCTCTTCTTGACCTGCGGGAGGAAACTGTTAACGGTCAAGGCTGAGAGAAGCAGATCCCATAGCTAGCTATTTAGCTCAAGCAGTGTGTCATTGCACATCAGCCTTGTTGTATAGGTTGATAATTTTACATTCAATCTCAGGTCTTACACAGAAAAACTCATATTGTTATTTGAATGTAATTGTTTTTGATATTGATGTGTGTTACAGCACACTGTCAGACTTACCAGGCCCATAAAAGTTCATACTTACTCAATGACCAGCAGTACCCTAATCATTCCAAACAGCAGAATGGGGCACAGCTGAGGCTAGAGCCTACATTTTAAAAACATACCCAACAACGTGAAAGTAAAAAAAAAGAAAAAGAAAACAAACAAAAGGCTGACAGAGAGAAAGTGGGGAGAGCTCCCTGGACACAAAGATGAAGCATAAAGATTCTGCGGTCCTGCAATATTTTAAAAAGACAGTAAGAGACACAAACTAGAAAAAAAAAAAACCTGTTGAGGCAAACCCATAGAAAGAGATGTTAAAAATAACTGGCAAACAGACCACATATTTCCAAACCACAGAACAAAGACCAGTCTAAGACAGAAGCAAAGGCCATACCTTTAGCCATGGCCAGGTTAGCCTGCAAGAAGGCATGACAACTATTATATTAATATTTAACAGTATAAGAAACGTTAGGCGCTACTTACATTCAGTAGGTGCCTGGAAAAAAACCTTCTCTTTTTCTTCTTAGAACAGAAATATTCTGTACAATGACCAAACTTGATAGAGTTACTGTGTGTGTGCAAAGAGAGAAAGCCTTGTGGTTATCTGCCTAAGATTACCACAGTATTTGGCCTCCATTTGAGCTGTGGTTTGAGAGACAGCTGAAACGCTGTGGTCTGTTTTTGAACCACATCGTCAGAAAAACAAGTCATTTTCAATACAAACATATTACGACCTCAGAAAAGGGTACTGCCCAACAGCAGGACAGGAACCAAGAGGTAGAAATGACTTTGGGGTCGTACCTATAACACTCTTGGCAAATGACGCACGCTTGAGTGTGGCCAGTCCCAAGTCTCCAATCTTGACGGATCCTGTTGGGCCTGTGATGAAAATGTTGTCGCACTTAAGGTCCCTGTGGATGATAGGGGGAGCCCGAGTATGAAGGAAGTGGAGCCCCTTGAGGATTTGTCTACACCAGCTCCGCAGAACTTTAATTTTCATCACCTTGAACCGCTTCAGATATCTACAAGAGAATAGATTATCACTTTCACATATTCTCAAGGAAACAAATACTGCAAGAAATGTAATCTTTTCTGTACACTTCCTTATAAGAGCACAAAACGAGCACAACTGCTCTTAGTTAAGCTCGACAAATATTTTATTTCCTAAAATATGAGAAATATTGGTCAGAGTATGGAGTATTTATAATTAATAGTCAGGATGATACTTTTTTGGGTTGCTCTAAAAACAAAAAAAAGGTGCAGCCCTAGGGTATAAAGTATGTATGAGCTCTGTATTAATGTTTGTAAGTTTGCGACTCACGTTTTAAGTGTGCCAGAAGTCATGAGTTCAGTGACCAGTACAATGCACTTCCTGCCTTTGGAGGGTCCCTCCCAGGAGTCATAAAAGCGGACAATGTTGGGATGCTGTAGTCCCTTCAACATCCCCGCTTCCTCCTTAAAGCGTTGCCTCTCTGACTTTGACAGCTTACGATCCTGCAGGGGACAAACAGGTAATACATAAAGATGGGGTGGTGATGGCGCAATGGATAAGCTGCATGTCTATGGTGTGAGAGACCCGGGTTCAATTCCCCACTGTGACCCATCTACCAATGTGTCCCTCAGACATGTATAGCAATTGTAAGTTGCTTTGGATAAATGCGTCAGCTAAATGAATAAATCTAATGTAAATGTTTACACACCACAGAGGGCAGCTCTATTATGGATGTATACATTTTCACTTGGTCTAATGACCATTTGTAACAATGCATTAACACTAGAACGGCTATGATGGTCATTTTGACCGTTTTGAATTTTATATCTGCAATAACTTTGCTGAAAAAATAAAATCCTGACTTTTCCTTTAATTTTTACCTATTTTGGCATAGACTGTCATTTTCACCGCACAGAATTTCGCGGTATTCTTTTGTTACATTTCCCGCGGTTGACCTTTGTCTCTCTCACTGTCAACAGAAAGGTCAGTAGCGGTCATGAGTGTTTGCATATATGCTAATTTCTACAAACAAAAAGTATATTAGATTAAATAGGTTGATCAGAAATAGGCTAATAATACTTTACTACAAGTGCTAATTATTTTTATTTACTAATGTAATGTAAGTGTGTGTGTGTGTGTGTGTGTGTGTGTGTGTGTGTGTGTGTGTGTGTGTGTGCGCGTGTGTACACACACCTAAGGGATTATTAGGAAAACCATACCGATGCTGTGTTTGACCCCCTTTCGCCTTCAGAACTGCCTTAATTCTACGTGGCATTGATTCAACAAGGTGCTGAAAGCAGTCTTTAGAAATGTTGGCCCATATTGATACGATAGCATCTTGCAGTTGATGGAGATTTGTGGGATGCACATCCAGGGCACGAAGCTCCTGTTCCACCACATCCCAAAGATGTTCTATTGGGTTGTGATCTGGTGACTGTGGGGGCCATTTTAGTACAGTGAACTCATTGTCATGTTCAAGAAACCAATTTAAAATGATTCGAGCTTTGTGACATGGTGCATTATCCTGCTGGAAGTAACCATCAGAGGATGGGTACATGGTGGCCATAAAGGGATGGACATGGTCAGAAACAATGCTCAGGTAGGCCGTGGCATTTAAACGATGCCCTAAGGGACCTAAAGCGTGGCAAGAAAACATCCCCCACACCATTACACCACCACCACCAGCCTGCACAGTGGTAACAAGGCATGATGGATCCATGTTCTCATTCTGTTTACGCCAAATTCTGACTCTACCATCTGAATGTCTCAACAGAAATCGAGACTCATCAGACCAGGCAACATTTTTCCAGTCTTCAACTGTCCAATTTTGGTGAGCTCTTCCAAATTGTGGCCTCTTTTTCCTATTTAGAATTAAGGCAGTGGAGATAATAATCTTTATTTGTAGAGCACTTTTCAAAAACAAGTTACAAAGTGCTTTAACAAGTGTAAAGACAATAATACCCAAGAGACAATAATACAAAAACAATACAAGATAAAAGCATGAAAACATTGAAAAGACTAAAATACAGATAAATATAAAATTAGTAAAATACAATAAAAGGGATAAAATAAAGTCAAACAAGATCGGGAAAGGCTCTCCTATAAAAGTATGTTTTAAGAAGGGACTTAAAAGAGTTCACTGACTCAGCCGACCTGATTTCCTCGGGCAGGCTGTTCCAGAGCCTCGGGGCCCTGAGTGCAAACGCGCTGTCCCCTTTAGTTTTCAGTCGAGACTCTGGAACAGACAACAGACCTCTGCCCGAGGATCTCAAGGTACGTGCTGGTGTGTATGGGACTAAAAGGTCAGAAATATAACAAGGCGAGAGGCCATGAAGAGCTTTAAAAGTGATCAATAGAATTTTAAAGTCAATTCTAAAACATACTGGGAGCCAGTGTAATGAAGCTAAAATAGGAGTAATGTGGTCATATTTCTTTGTTCTGGTTAAAAGCCTGGCAGCTGAGTTCTGGACAGTCTGGAGTCGATCAATAGATTTTTGGGTTAAACAGGTGAAAAGGCTGTTGCAATAATCCAGGCGTGATGAGATGAAGGCGTGTAAAATGGTCTCGGTGTCCTTAAAAGTTAACATAGATCAAATTTTAGCTATATTTCTTAGTTGATAAAAACATGATTGAACAAGCTTTGTGGTGTGCTGCTCGAAATTTAAATTACTATCAAACCAAACACCAAGGTTCTTTGCCACAGGCTTAATGTGATTTACTAGGGAACCAGCAGATGGCAGTATTTGATTTGCCATCTGCTGAGACCCGATGACCAGGATTTCTGTTTTGTCTGAGTTCAGCTGGAGGAAATTATTTGACATCCATTTTTTAACTTCACAAAAGGCAGTTGTTAAGTGAACTCAGCATTCCAGGGTCTGTGGATCTGACGGGCAAGTATATTTGAGATGAGTGGTAGCCGGTGGGGTCTTCTGCTGTTGTAGCCCATCCTCCTCAAGGTTGTGCGTGTTGTGGCTTCACAAATGCTTTGCTGCATACCTCGGTTGTAACGAGTGGTTATTTCAGTCAAAGTTGCTCTTCTATCAGCTTGAATCAGTCGGCCCATTCTCCTCTGACCTCTAGCATCAACAAGGCATTTTCGCCCACAGGACTGCCGCATACTGGAGGTTTTTCCCTTTTCACACCATTCTTTGTAAACCCTAGAAATGGTTGTGCGTGAAAATCCCAGTAACTGAGCAGATTGTGAAATACTCAGACCGGCCCGTCTGGCACCAACAACCATGCCACGCTCAAAATTGCTTAAATCACCTTTCTTTCCCATTCTGACATTCAGTTTGGAGTTCAGGAACTTGTCTTGACCAGGACCACACCCCTAAATGCATTGAAGCAACTGCCATGTGATTGGTTGATTAGATAATTGCATTAATGAGAAATTGAACAGGTGTTCCTAATAATCCTTTAGGTGAGTGTATATACACACACACACACACACACACACACACACACACACGGAAAGTGACAGCGACATTTCCCTGGGTGCACGTAAATATTTCTTCCTCAGAGTGTGATTCCACATCAGAGTCCACATCAAGGAAAAAGGGGCGGCTGCTATCAGACACGGCGGATCCAGATGTTCCGTTCATGTCAGGTGATCCTGTTGAGCGCCACTGCCCTGTCCTGCGCTGCGTGTTTTGCTGCAGGCTGTTCACCAGTTCTGCTGGTCCTATTGTACTATTTATTTATTTTTTAATTATTTAATAAATAATAATCATCATCATCCCTCCCGGACCAGTAGTTCTACCTGCTCTTGAGCCAGCAAATTTATTCAGTATATGGGGAATAAGCCTGATAAATTCGGCATCAAATTTTGGCTGGCAGCAGATGTTCAAACCAAATATATGCTGAACAGGGCTCCGTATCTGGGAAAGGAAGAGACGCGGAGCAGAGGTCAGCTTGTAGGAGAGAGTGTGGTGCTGAGGCTGGCGGAGCCATTCCTTGGGAAGGGAAGAAATACCACGGATAACTTCTTCACGTCTCTCAAACTGGCCACTGCCTTACAGGCAAAGAAGACCAGCCTGGTTGGCACCGTGGGGAAAACAAAATGTGAGTTGCCCCTTTCCGCGAAAGAACATGCGGAGCTGTTCAGCACAGAGGTGCGGAAATGTGCTGACGCAACACTTGCCATCTACCAGGGAAAGCCGAGGAAGAATGAGTGTATTTTGAGTTCTGTTCACACAAGCATGAGCATCACCGATGGGCCGAAGGCAAAGCCTGAGTCTGTGACATACTATAATAACACCAAGTACGGCATGGACGCCCTCGACCAGATGGCATGGGCATACATACTGTTAAAGGTGGTACACGTAGATGGCCAGTCGCTGTGTTTTATAACATCCTCTACCTGGCTGGGATCAATACCCACATACTCTTCAAGGAGTGCACCAGCAGCAAATTAACTCGGAGGAAGTTCATGCAGCAACTTGCAGAGGAGCTGAAAGCACAGTTCATGGAGGAGAAAAGAGCAGTATGGCAGTTGGCACACAAGGTTCCAGTCAGCAGCAGAAGCAACCACCGCAGCAGACACCAAAACGGAGGCAGTGCCAGGTTTGGAGAAGCTGCAGTCAAAACTAAACCTGCTGCAAACCCGTGTGTGGAAATTGTGTTGAGGAGAAGAGAGGTCACTTGCCTTGATTGTGAAGCTTAAATAGCCAAGCACTATATTGATTTAAATAGTTAACATCCAATTTGTAATATAGGCTAATGTTTTTATGTTTCTGTAGCCTAAGCTTCCTTCTTTTTAGATCAGCTCGTTTCCAGCTTTTTCTATTAGCCCATTTTCTGTGTTATTAAAATAAAATGTTATTATCTTGTTCTGAGTTATGTTGAATGGATATGGAAATATAGCCTATCTGTGAATATGCGATAATTACAGTAGGCTACTAATGATATTATTTATTAATGCATAATTAAACTAAAAGATATCCTAATACAATAAATGCATTAATCTCTCAATTGAGTATTTATCATTAAAGATATAGAGTTTGGAATCTAGCGGTCAAAATGACTGCTAGTGGCAGTTCTAGTAGTTATGGAATTCTGGCGCTTCTAGTGTTAATAGCACAGTAAAGATCATCAATACCAATGGCAAGTAATGTTTGAATGTTTCCATTCATAAGAAGGAAACATTTTTGAATCTACATTCATATCAACATTCCAGGTTTGAACAGCGGAGAAACACTCTAATTTAAGGAGTCAAACTGACAAAAATGAGGAAAGGTTACATTTCCTTCTACACAGCTATACTCTGACATGTAATGGGGGCAAAGGCATGTGGCCCTGTCTGGTGGATGACTGTGAACCAAATTGAATATGTCTGTGTTTTGTCCGAAATACCAAGAAAACCAAAACAAGAAAAAAAGCAACAGCATGACTGACAATTTGAGAAGCATAGAAGATGAGTGCAGACTATAATGTCAAACAAACAAATAAGTCCGGCTTGTTACAACAAATAAAAATAGCTGTCCTCTTTACTATACAACACAAG